ACACTGGGCTAACTAAAACACAAAATACTTAAATAAATAACACCTTTTATCTACATTAATTAAATAAAAGAAATCTGGATAAACTTCAAGAACTTTACTAAATAATTAATTTCTCTAAATCAAATCCAAAGCACAGTAAAACAAAAATTGCACTTCCCTCTCAAKGGTCATCACTGGTTTCAGATGGGATACTGTTCCCACTTCTTATTGGACAACTGTATGTAGTGAGTAGGGAATAAAGGGTTGTACACAGAGACTCGTGTGCCTCAAGGCAACCAACAGAACTGATGAACTGATGCTCTGTGAGTGTTTATCTGAATTTTGCAAAATCTTTGCACAATCAGTAGATGATGCCTATCTGAAAAACTGTGTTGAATGTAATTTTCTATATCATTGCCTGTTTTGAAAATTAACTGCATCCATTTTTAGGTCATTATGGAAACAGGAGTCACTTCAAACAGAACTGAWGCTGTGACTCACATCCATCCCTGCTACGAAACAAAACATTTCAGTTATACGTTTACCACAACACCTTCTGTCGCGTGTGTGATCTTAAACTGTTTTTTAACGCTTTTGTCTGTTGCCACAGTTTGTGGAAATCTCCTTGTAATATTCTCTGTGTTTTACTTTAAACAGCTTCACACTCCTACTAACTTCCTCATTCTGTCTCTGGCTGTGGCTGACCTGCTTATAGGGATCATAGAATTTCCTTTGGCCATGGTACTTACCTTCAGCTTATGTTTGCACCATGAAGAATTGTTTTGTAGGATTCGAGAYGGCTTTGSTGTATATTTYTGTACATGCTCTATCTTACAYCTATGTTGTATTTCTGTWGACAGATATTATTCAGTGTGTCGGCCATTATTATATAAATCTAAAATCAGTCCTCATGTTGTTTTCTTCATGATTACTGTAAGCTGGGTTGGTTCTGCATTTATTGGTATAGGAGCATCTCCAAAATCTAAACAAAAATGTCAGGTAAAATGTTTTATTGATGCTCTGATGAATAACGCAGTTGGACCAACTTTATCATTTTATCTACCACTTGTCATAATGTTGTGTATTTACCTAAAAATTTACCTTGCTGCACAGAGACAGGCACGAACCATCCAAATTACAATGAACTATGGAGCAAATGTCACCAAGATGGAGAGAAAAGCCACTAAAACTCTTGCTATTATTCTGGGAGTGTTTATTATTTGCTGGACTCCTTTTTTTCTTTGTTTTACTCTGTTGCCTTTTACCAACATTTCAGTACCAGTTCCTGTTCTTGAAGCACTTATGTGCCTTTCACTGACAAACTCAGCAATAAATCCATTTATTTATGCCTTCTTTTATAGCTGGTTTAGATCTGCTTTTAAAATTATTATGTCTGGAAAAATATTACAAGGTGAATTTGCCAATACAAAGCTACATTAGTTTCCTTTTTTAAAGTGCATAAACATAGCTTTAAGTTGTCAAAAACATACAGGGGTTAGACAATGAAACGGAAACACCTGGTTTTAGACCATGTAAACCCTTTGAGACAGCTTCTTCTTGCGTCCACTGTTAATGCTGTTGGATGTGGTTGGTCCTTCTTGGTGGAATGCTGACATTACCCTGGATACCGTGGCTCTTGATACRTCACAAAGACTTGCTGTCTTGGTCACAGATGCTCCAGCAAGACGTACACCAACAATTTGTCCTCTTTTGAACTTTGGTATGTCACCCATAATGTTGTATATAAGATGTAAAATCATTAATAATATGTACTCAACTATGGATAATATTATGGAAATAATAACAATTGAAATAATAAATTWAAAAAAACATAATTGTAAGGTGTGTATGTCGATCACCTGAATCAAACATAGAGCTATTCACAGATAAAATCATGAACATCTTTGAGGGGAGTTGTAATAAAAAATGTTTTGTGTGGGGACATTAACCTGGGTAATAAAATGGACTCAAATAATATTGGTACATTTATAAACTAAATGCATAGTTTAAATCTTTATCCAATGACATCAAAACCCACCAGAATCACAACTTGCAGTGTGACAATAATTGATAATTTTTTTTACAAATATAACAAATGAAGAATTGTTGGGTGGTATTTTGACATCTGATGTAAGTGATCACCTACCATTTTTCTTGATTTATAAAAGTAATCAATATAATACAAAAGTAGTTACAATCAAAGAAAAAACAATAAACACATCAAAGAAAGCATTGGATAAATTAAAAGACGATCTACAAAAACAAAACTGAGGGTTGTATTTGCTGATGATGTGAACAAAGCATATAATGTGTTTATGGATGTTTTGGAAGATCTGAATGAAAAGCACTGTGTCCAAAACAATTACACAAATAGAAATAGTGTTGACAAGCCATGGATGACAAAAGGGTTGAGAAATGTTTGTAAGAAAAGAATCATTTGTATTCATGCTTCTTGAAATTAAGAACAAATGAATCATAAGATAAGTACAAGAAATATAAAAACAGGCTAGAATGGATTATAAGAAAGCATAAGAAAGAAAATTACAGTGACAAAAGTAAAAGTGATATGAAGGCGACATGGAATGAACAACAATGAACAGGGTTAAATAGGGTTTTGAAAAGTAAAACAAAAACAAGCATTCCACAATACTTTGTTGAGGATGACAGTGAAATTTATGATCAAAATGAAATTGTAAATAGATTTAATGATTATTTTGTGAACGTTGGCCCCAGTCTTGCAGCTCAAATACCAAAAGTTAATACAAGTCATATTGTCATGAGTTGTACCAACACTATTTTTCTTAAGGAAATTGACAAAGAAGAAATAATGAATATTGTAACAAACAAACAAACGATCAAAAGACTGATTGGATATGGATATGAAGTTTATAAAGGAAACTAGATACSGCATACTGGTAACATAATGACCCCCGCACGCACAAATGCACCAGAATTCAGAAGTCTTTATTCCAAATAAATGTCATGCTACTAGGTGATTGGTGGGCCTGATGGTTAGAGCTTCATCAGAGCTAAACAACAGAAGAAATCTGAAGCTCCTATGTTGAACAGTTTTTGAGTTATAACCCTAACCTGCATCAAACATCTCTATCTATCTATCTATCTATCTATCTATCTATCTATCTATCTATCTATCTATCTAT